TGGTGGTGGTGGACAAGTTCATGCTCGCCGCTGCCATAGGGGGAGTGCAGGCAGTGCGTGCGAGAAGAACGGCGCAAACGCGCTGAATTAGCGACGTTGACGAGGCTGTCATCATTGTGTTGTGCTGGGTTTTTTCTTTGGCGCGAGATGAAGAAGATGAAGCAGAGGAAGAAAGAGCGAGAGTGTGCAGAGGTAGACGGTGCTGATGTCGCCAGCACCGATGCGTCGGTTCGGAGCTCTCCTACATAACACAGTGATGCATACTTTAATAACTGTAGTTATGTTGCCGATCATCAGGCCAACAAATTCCTCACGGGATGAGAATCTCAACATGCTGGAATCTGTATTGAATGGGAAAAGGTAATCGTTGCTTCCGATGTTGGACAAGTAGACAGCTCGAGACAGTAGAGATTTGGCTTCTTCATCCCCTAGTTTCTGCCTCAACGACTTCCCAACGTTCTTGAAATATGATAGTTGACAATGAAGATCTCTCCTCAAGCCTTGGCGAGTTTCAATCAAAGCACTAGCTCCGGTAGGATGACCCTTTTTGTAGATTTCACCATATGGCCAGTAGTTTCCCTGAAAAACAGTGCTGAAGTAGTTATTGTTTCCAGCATCAAATATGGAATCCCCGAATACGAAAAGGGGTACTACATGTGTATCCTTATTTGGAAGGCCGCATTAGCCATGGCTAGCTTGGGTTGTGATATCCAGAAGGCTTGTAAACAAGGTAAATGCACAGATTTGAATATACAAGCTTGAACTGGCCATCTTTCTCTCTCTCCGTAGATTGAATGGGTGTGTCTCTGAGTGTGGGTGTTGGGTTGTTGGTTCTTGGGTTTCTGCAGATTCACGGTGGAGGTGAAAAAAATGAAAGAGAACCGACATAGCTTTTCGTGTCGATTCCCACAGACGACGCCAAATGTTGATGCACAAAACCGGAGTGGTCTTGGAGCAACGTAAGTCCAACCGTGAATCTGCAAGAAAGTAAATAACACAAGATGTATCGTGGTTCACCCCAAGGTTTGGGCTACGTCCACACTGATATTGGATTTCTCTGAGATGTTGAAGAAGGAGAGAGAGAGAGAGCTTCCTTATGTGAGGATGAGCTTCTTTGAATATGAGAGGGGATGTGAGGCCTTTGAGGCTTAGGGTTTGTGAGGGTGAGGAGGCCCTTTTATAGGATAAGGGCTCCTTCTTTTTTTACATATTTGCCCCTTCCTTTATTACATAATTACATTTGAGTCCCCCGAGTATTTATACGAGGTATAAATACGAATGCCCTAAGTATGGTATAAACAAAACCTATTACTTATTATGCTATTGAGTTTCCATAAAACTTTGGGGGTTAGTATGTCGATAACTATTTCAGTATTTTATATATATATCAACTTGGTCCACTCATGTTTATTGTGCGCCCCCTCAGGACATAGGAACGAGGCTTACAATCCGAGCTACGAGGCATTCCCTTACCAGTGATATCGTGCCTTCATCTCTGCTTTGACATCATTGTAATAGCACCTTCCGTTGTATTCTGAATTAGATGTATACTCTGAACATGTCATGTACTATCACTATGTTTACCATTGTTGTCAGTTGAATATTAGTATATTATTTTATGTAGTTCGAACGAAATTTATATGCATGGTTTACATGTTCTCAGCATATGCATTCATTAAATGGCTTGCGTCACCCTCGGGTGTCGGCCATCACACGGCCATCCCAATGTCCTTTATCGGGATCGGGGTGTGTCATTGGCGGAAAAAAAAAAGAAAAAAGAAAATCTCAAGATGTTTAAAAGGTTTTGCATAGAGCGAGAGTTTACGTTTGACAGTTTTGTGTGTTGATTTGAAGAGCTTTTCACATTGTTTGCAGCTTTGTATTTACAACCGAGTCTCCTTGATCGCCAATCCAATAGAGACATTTTCCGAATATACTCCAAAAATAAAAATAACTGATATTATCTTTTGACATATTTTGGCAAAAGCCTCCCTAGTCTCCTTATGCCCATAGACTTTTACAAGAGGACTTTGAAATCTCAAATATCCTTTCACACGGCATGCATTGTGACCCCATCATCAATTCTTATCACGAATGAGGATCCTCTTCCGATCCTCTTTGTGAGGATTTCGAGAATTTTCTAATCATATATGTTTATCGTATATCGTGTGGTAAAAAATTATTGTAAATTTTTTTATTTAAAATTAAATATAAACACTACCTGATGAAAACTAATACACGATGTACGATGAACGGATGTGATTGGAGGATTTCCTAAATTCTCACAAAGAGAATCCGGAGAAGATCTTCATTCTCTTGTCACTTCAAACCCATCTGACAACATCCATCACCATGCAAAAATGCCTAACCTACCTAGGTTTCTTATCTCATCATTAACCAAGACCATTATTTTCCTTCAAGTAATCATCAAATCCCACCGAAAGGGATCCTCTTCGGATCCCTTCCACCAAATTCACCAAATCCACCAATTCGGACCCTTGAAATTTGATCCAACGGCTAAAAACAAAGGCCCTCTTTAAAAGTTATAATAACTTTAGTCGTTGGATCAAATTTCAAGGGCCCTGATTGATGGATCCGGAGATGATCCCTTTCCAAATCCCACGTGCTCTTCTTCTACTCCAAGTTGTTTCAATCTACATGCCCACTGCCAACAAACCCAGTTAATTTGAACTTTGTTGTTATTGCTTCCCATTGGAGATAACTTGAATCCCATTTATCCCGTATGAAGAAAATGTGAAGATAAATCATATTAAAAGATAATTATTATGATAAAAAAAGCATAATAATATCTTCACTTGTCCATCTGACGGTGTGGAGCTATGCTCATTCTATGACCTTGATTGCATGGGCTGATAGTGTAATTTTAGGTACAAACAGGATGCCAAAACTGACGGGTGCTCAAGCGTGGCCAAGACAGCTTAGGGCATAGGCTGTGATACCACAGACGTACATTCCGACCTTGCCGGGTTCTTTAGGTCTAAAGATTTCCTTTTGTTGAGTCATGAAATTGTTAACCATAACAACCCATCATTGTTTCTGCCATTGTACTCCGTCTCATCGACTGATCACTAACCGTCTTCTTCCACTAATCTGTACTAAGGAAACGGCGTGACACACGGGGTCACTGGCAGATCCCACTGACAGGAGTATAGTGGATCGAACTAGATCCTTTTTTTTAAAGAGCTATCCCCGAATAAGTTAGTCACAATCTTTCTTCTTCTTGTACTTGTGGCAAAAAGAGTGGAAGGCAATAAAGACACTTATACAACATTTTTGGGTCTTTTTTTTTTTTTTTTTTTACTGTAAAAGTGGCTCAAAAGAAGAATCACGCCTCCAGTCGATTATGCTTCATGTTTGACTAGATAAGCCACAAGGCCTCTCCTTCTTCAGGCCCAGGTCAACTATTTGGGGTCCACCGCCTTGGCATATTCCTTGTTCTACCGAGATGAAACTAAAAGGTGTGAGGAAGATTGGATTACTTATTATTAACCGTAAAGCTTTCCACAAGTAGCTCCAAAAAGTAAATAAAAAAAAATCAGAATTAATAGTATACGAAACCGTGTTTTACACGGCTGAATGGAGGGTAACTCTGCTAACGAAAGCTGGCGTAAGTACTTCCAAAGAGGGAATGGAACCGCTCACATCTCTTTCGGAGCGTGTTTTGTGTGTGTAGTGTGCGTTCAGAGTCCTAAAGCCTAATGAAGTAGTTGTTCCTTGCTAGAGGAGGAAAGTCAATTAACTTTTGTGTGTGTGGTGTGCGTTCAGGGTCCTAAAGAAACTGAATATTTTGATTCAGACCAAATAAATTCAATAAATATCTGTCTTTCGACAAAAAATAAAAAAATTGAAATATTTGGACTCGACCAAATATGAACAACTAAGTATTCTGATTGAATGGATCAAATCTTTTTCGTATGTTAATTTTTTTGGTGCAAAATCTGTAGGCTGTTTTGATTCGACATGAATTTGTTTCATCTAAATCCAATTTTAATTTTCTTTAGGTTTTTTCAAGTAACCTCGAAGGTACGAGGGCGGCTTTATTGTTTAATATTTTTTATATATAAAGATATGATGTATTTGAAATTTGAAGTGGCTATGAGAATGAAATTATACTAACTACATACAACAAACTAATGCATGTGAGTCAACTAAAATTCTAATACCATATAATATATATGAATAATTTTTTTCGTTATTTTTGTGGTGCCAAATCACTTTTTATGTGACTTTTGTAGTAAAAAATTTGTTAATTAAACTCTCGTGATAAGCTCCGTTAACAATTGAGGTTCAAATCACTTTGGTTTTTTTTGTTTTTTTGTTATATATACACATGTGAGTCTCACGTGAAAATATAGCCATAATTTCAAATCAAATTAGGCAGGTAACGGCATCTGTTTGTTTGATTTGGGGGATGGTATGCCGTGGAAATATGAAGGACCTCTTTTCTTCTCCTCCATCAGCTGCGATGGATCCGCGAGAACAAAATCAAGACTTTAGTGGCTGCATCATTGACGAGCACGCGGTGAGACTGATGCGTTCCGTATTTGTTGACTCTATAATTTATTAAGCCTACGCAGCTAGTAGACTAAGTAACTAAGAACTAACTGCATCCTTTTAGTGAATGCAGGTGTGCCAACTCGCTATCAATAAAGTTCGACTTTCAATGTGTCTCACACTCAAGTAACCTACTAACATCTCACTTCGTCGGGAATATTGATGAGATGACCTCCTTATCCTCATCCTCGTCAACCAGCCGAATTTGAAGTTGTGCTACTACCCCAAACTAAAGATGCTCATCGGTCGCCTAAATGATTTCTCAGAATATCATAAGTTCGCGAGATTTGCGCAGGATATTTTTGTATTGAGTTAAAAACTCTTTTCACCCTGCGGACTCACTTTTATTTATAGAAATGGATTTCGTGATAACCATAACCAAAGTTTGATTCTTGAAGTATTATCCCATGTCTGCAAATTTCTGCATAGTAATCCAACTCTCACCAGTACGTGCTAATCCCATGTAATTCGCACAGAACCCTCTCTCCGGACCAGTCATTTCAAGTCTTATCCAACATGCCATGTATTTACAACCTTTAACCCTTTATTCAAACTATCCTTATCAAATCACCAATTTTTGCATAAAATCCAGCATGTGCCTTAGAGCTCTGTCTATTTAACAATATTGATTATAAGGACGGATAACGTAATGTTGGTCAAACAGTGTCACAACCCACTCCTTTTTTTTGTTATGGTTTCGGTTTTTACCAGAGATGAACTTCTCTTAATTTAACTAGAGAGTATCACTGGATCTGATTATCTTTCCTTACTTCTGGTAAATTCTTTGATTTCTTTCTTATTTTTGTTTCAGTTAAGCAAACATGTTAGAAAGATTAGTCAATCATTTAACATCCATGATTCGTAACTTGTCTTGTTTTAATTAGGTAAGCATTCCATAAACTCTTTCTTAAAACAAAAATTTTAAACTAATTACCCAGGATTGATACTTAGGAAATTAATTATAAAAAATTAGAATATACTTTTCACATAGTTGACGTAACAAGGTTTAAAGGTTCACGCCATACTCGCTCCAGGAGGCGCGTGGGCGGAGTGATCTCTCCTTCACCATCAAGCCTTCTTCTCCCCCATCACCTCCATTAATGCCCCAAAATAAATAAATAAATAAATATTATTTATAAAATTAAATAAATGTTAAATAAATAAATTTGAAAAATGACAGAAACCCCCGTCCTCCGTGTTTCTCTAACATGCGCCATTTTCTGTTCGCCACCACCACTATCATGCCCTCCTCATCCTCCTCCTTCTCAGCCGCTGCCACGTCATCCTCCTCCTTCTCCCCAACCCCCAAACCCAAATCCTCAAACCCTAACTCTAACTCAAACCCTAATTGCACCCTCCTCTGCAAGCACTCGCCCTCGGCGACCCTCGACCTCCTTATCCTCATCCTCGTCCTCTTCTCCGGGACCTTCCTCATCACCTCCTACTTCGCCTACATCTTCAACTCCCTCTCGCTTCTCCTCTCTCACTCCACCCTCCACCTCCTCCTCCACCACATTCCCGTCCCCTACGTCGTCGGCTTCGTCGCCTTCTTCGCCGCCGCGCTGTTCGTAGTCGAGTTCTGCTGCGGCATTCGATCGAGGAAGTGCGATAGGCCTGGGTGCAAGGGCTTAAAGAAGGCTATGGAATTCGATTTGCAACTGCAATCGGAGGAGTGTGTCAAGTCCGGGTCTAAAGATATCGATAGGCTGCCGTGGAAGGGCGGCAGCGAGGGCAATCCCGATTACGAGTGTCTCAGGACTGAGCTGAGGCGGATGGCGCCGACCAATGGCCGTGCCGTTCTGCTGTTTCGGGCTCGATGCGGATGCCCGGTGGCCAAGCTCGCAGGCTGGGGTCCCAAGAGAAAACGTCGGCATAAGAAGTGAGTTTCCTTCTCCTTTCTTGCCTGCATTTTCTTGATTACTTGATTAGATGGAAATTAATTGCATTGAGTAAATGTTGTTTGTATTGATCTGGGCAAGTTTCAATATTCTGTGCAACTTATTGGATGCTATGAATTGAACAATTGGACTTCAATGGGGTTGCTTAACTTTACGAAAATTTTCAAGTAATTGTTGCTGGGTACTGGAAGGTTTATTGAATAATTTGAATTGCTAAAGGCTGAAGAGGTAGAGCTTAGATCACATGAACTTCCATTAGACTTAGATTTGAGTCCGAGATTGAGATCTCTTACATAAACTCTTGAAGCAATCAGATGAACCGTCTGGAAGAGTAGAAGTATAGGTGATGGCATATTGTAGAAGGTGCGAGCACCTAGGCTTTTGGTAAGTGAGACCCTTTTGTGTTGGAAAATTAAAAAATTTCTTTTGGTTTGACCTTTCTTCGTTTGCCCACCCACCTAAAAAATTATGTGCGCGTAATGTGTCTTTTCATTTTGTATCCGTGGTTAGATCTGTTAGGTAGCTGTGCCGTATTGCATCTGGCATTTTTGAACAATGTAGGCTAGAATAATGTTTTGTTTGCTCAGTGGAGCCTGAGTAATCTGGAATTTAATGGTAATACTGTATATATGTTGTCAGTTGGACAAACATCTTAGGTAGTGCACCAAGAGACTTATGATTGGGTTCAGATTGATCTGTGTAAATAGCATGTACATTTGTTAATCATATGGGAGATCCCTAATAGAGATAAGCAGGCTGGGCAAGTACGCGTATCATATGGACATGGCCTGTTTCAAAAAATTTGACACGATAAAGCCCTAACAAAGTAAACAACAAGAACTATAATAAATAACTGAAACAATCCAGCTGATGAGGCCCTGGACAAGTGTAGAAAAATATGGCACGATTAAGGCACCACACTAATATGATGCATGAGCATGGCACAATTATGTTGTTCCCAAGTACCAAAGGAAGCATAGATGGCTTGATTTTAATGACGACCCATTTTACACATCTACTCCAGAAGTATTAGGGAGAGAATTTGTTTGGGTCCATAGTTTTTGAGGTAAAAAAGTTAAGGGTCTCTAAGTTTCATAACCTAGACATCAATCCCAATGGTATGCATGATAGATTACTATAGGATTTCTGTGGAAATCTTTTAATCAGAATATGAAAAGAGGCTGGATGAACATCAATACAACGGTAGCAGTGAGTATAATCTGAAGTACTAAACGCATGAATGCTACGGTATAATTTGTGGTGTAGGTCATGAATGATTATTTCACGAGTAACTGAGAATGGTTACTGAAAAGTGTTACCATGGTTGACAATGTGGAATAGATCATGATTTGATATGAGTTTGGCTTCACAAAGTAAGTATATGCATAAACTTGAGTCCTCGACATAAACTGATAGAATGCTATAATGATGCTGGGGCATATACCCAGTAATTTTAGCACCGTACCTAGGGGTTGGTCCAGTTTAACATCATTCCTTTTGGGCTGCATTTCTGGTTCAGATAGATCTGGCAGTTACATATGACTCTGCTGATTTGGTTTTAAGTTTTGCTGTGGAACGTCTTTCTTATAAATAGAAAAAGAAAAGAAAATGTGTATCTTGATTTGGCTTTAGTTATTTGCAGCTTGTCTTACCTTGTTAGAAGACAATGCCCTCGGTAAGTTTCAAATGTACTTTGTTGGGTGCACTATTATGTACAGTACTTTGTAGGTTAACTTATTGTTTTGTAGGCTGGCAAGTTTTGTGTCGTAACAATTGTATGGCTCTGTTAAACCTGAAAGTGGCATTGAGCAATTACTTGCAACCATGCAAGCTATCTAGTATCTACTGCTGCATCTGCATTGTATACGGTTGAGGACGATTATTTATATAAGTCTCTTTGGTCTTGCAGGGCTCTGGCCAGTACGGCTCTTAATGGAGGAGATCATCGCTGATTATTCAGGATGCTTTCGCCACCGGAGTTCCCATTACATGTTCGATTACCTGTTAAATTATAGATGTTGGTTTTTTATTCCTTGTATTCTGGACTTCACTCTCAATCAAAACAATTCTTTTACATTAGTCATATACTCCGGCGGCGCACTTTTATTTCTGAAACCACCTTTGTCTAGACAAGCACCTTCTCGAGCGGTGGCCCCTCGGAAGGGCATAACGAATTGAATGAGACTAAATATAGCAATTGTCGATTGGATATTTTGTTTGCAAAGCTATATTACCTCTACCAAATGGGGGAATTAATGGACCGCTATGGATATATGGATGAAGGCCTTTGTTCTCAAAATTGATTGCATCAATTCACCCGTGTTATAAGACATGTATAGTAAAAAAAAATATCACTAAGTTCTTCACAAATCACGAGATTAATATCAAATTATAGCTGACTTAGTATGTGCATGGTTGTTCCCGCTTTATCGGGTGAACTATTTAAAGTTAGCTTGGGTCTTAAGTCACTTCCTTTTCGAATGTTTTTGCTTTCATTTTATATTTACACCGTGGCAAGTTCTCTCCTTGAATTCACTTCCCTCTCAACGCGTCTCATGCTCTCGTCAGATGCTCCAATCTCAGAGACCGAAATCGTTCCCTGGACTTCCAGTCCTTCGCGTTTCATGTCTCAAATGGCTCTCTACCGCCGCCGCCGCATCCCAAAACCCAGAGGACAATCTCCGTACCTTCTTCACCGGCAGAATCAACCAAACCCAAACCGACTACGAGCTCGCATTGGTTTCAGCTTTAAAGTCCTGCTCTTCCCTCGCGGCCTCCTTCCAAGGCCAGCAAATCCACTCCCTTGTTCTGAAGTCCGGACTGGACTCCAACAATTTCATCAAGAACAGCTTGATTAACACGTACGCCAAATGCGGCTTCATTGCCGATGCCGAGTCGCTGTTCGATTCTTGCTCTAAGTTGGATCCGGTGTCTTGCAATATTATGGTTGCTGGCTATGTGAAATCTGGTCGTTTGGAGAGTGCACGCCAGGTGTTTGAAAAAATGCCTGAGAAGGGATGTGTCTCATATACTACTATGATAATGGGTCTTGCCCAGAATCAGTGTTGGACCGAAGCCATTGAGGTTTTCAGGGATATGAGGTCAGCGGGGGTGATCCCGAATGAGGTGACAATGGCGACTGTGATCTCAACTTACTCGCATTTGGGCAGTATTTGGAATAGTCGAATGCTTCATGCTCTGGTGATTAAGTTGCAGCTTGAGGGGTTTGTTCTTGTCTCCACGAATTTGCTGCACATGTATTGGGGTTGTTCGAGTGTATGCGATGCAAGAAGTTTGTTTAGTGAGATGCCTGAGAGGAATATAGTTTCGTGGAATGTCATGTTGAATGGGTATGCAAAAGCTGGACTTATCGATTTGGCTAGAGAGTTGTTTGACAATATTCATGCAAAGGATGTGGTCTCATGGGGTACAATGATTGACGGGTATGTGCAAGTGGAGTGGTTGAGTGAAGCTTTGATGATGTATCAGGCAATGCTGCGTACTGGGCTAGGGCCGAATGATGTTATGCTTGTAGATTTGATTTCGGCTTGTGGGCGCTCTGAGGCGGTACATGAAGGTCAGCAACTTCATGGGACAATTGTAAAGGAAGGTTTTGACTGCTATGACTTTATACAGGCAACGATCATCAATTTTTATGCAGGCTGTGGCGACATGAACCTTGCTCGTCGTCAGTTTCAAAAGGGCATCAAGGAGCATGTTGCATCTTCGAATGCCCTGATTGCAGGATACATAAGAAATGGAATGATCAACCAGGCAATTTCATTGTTTAATGAGATGCCTGAAAAAGATGTTTTTTCATGGAGTTCCATGATTTCTGGTTATGCACAGAGTGATCAACCTGAATTAGCTCTAGAACTCCTTCAAAGAATGGTAGCTACTGGGATCCAACCGAATGAAATTACGATGGTGAGTGTGTTATCTGGAATTGCTACATTAGGCACATTGAAAGAGGCAAGATGGGCACATGAATACATAATTGAAAACTCCATTCCTCTCAATGACAATCTAAGTGCAGCACTCATTGATATGTATGCCAAATGTGGGAGTATCAATACCGCCTTAGAGGTGTTCTATCAAATCCGAGATAAAACCTCAACAATCTCACCATGGAATGCCATCGTATGTGGGTTGGCCATGCACGGACATGCAAAGTTATCCCTTGAAATGTTTTCAGACTTGCAAAAGCGTAATATCAAACTCAATTCAATCACATTCATCGGCGTCCTAAGTGCATGTTGCCATGCTGGCTTCGTGGAGACTGGGGAGAGGTACTTTAAGAGCATGAAGAATGTTTACAACGTAGAACCAAATATCAAGCATTATGGTTGTATGGTGGATCTCCTTGGAAGAGCTGGCCGAGTAGGAGATGCTGAGAAAATGATAAGGAGCATGCCCATGAAGGCTGATGTAGTCATATGGGGCACACTTTTGGCGGCATGTAGAACACATGGAAATCTGGAAATAGGAGAAATGGCTGCAGAGAGTTTGACAAGGTTGCAACCATCTCATGGCCCAGTTAGAGTTCTCCTATCCAATTTATATGCAGATGCAGGGAAGTGGGAAAAAGCCTTTTCAGAGCGGCGAGCAATGCAGAGCCTAAAACTGGAGAGATCTCCAGGGCACAGTGATGTTGTATGATAAGGGTGCTGGGGTCTTAAAATATTCAAAGTTTCCGTCAATTTGAAGATGTGGGCTGCTATACAATCGTTCTGGAGAGAAAGCTTTCAACTTGTACCATAAAGAATTGAAATAATTTGACATTCAAATGTAACTACAATTTTCAAGCTGAATTTCAGAAGGGAAGAATAAAGGTAAACGGAAAACAATAAATTACGGCTCGCTTTCAATTATCATTTCTGCAGCTGCACCCATGAAATCAACACCGCCAATCCCCAGCAAATCTAGAGCAAGCTCCTCCTCATTCCACTGTCTCAGCCGCTTACTGATTCTCTTCAAGGCATCTACGTCAACGTCCAGCATCCAAGTCGGCATGCAAACCACCATGAGGCTCATGAATCCCAAGACATACGCGCGCCAGGTGATCTGGTCACAGCCAAGAGATATCTGACCATCTAGTGCACTTGCAAGAAATTCCATGTGGGTTCCAAGAATCTTTGGACGCCGCTTGGATCCCCAGGATGATGAGTCAATACCCCATACAAAGCCTCCACACAGCGATGCAAAGTAAGCAAGCACATAACCCCTTAACCATGCATCTCCGTTTGATTCTCCATCTTGTCTGAAACTGTGGATAGATACAAACCATGAAGGCAGAAATTCTTTAAACAATGACTGAACCAGATCTAAGCCTCCTGATAACCATACTAAAGAAGCCGCAAGTGAAGCCATAAGTTTACCCCGAGTGAGGTTTGAAGCCATGTGATATTGTCCTTTTATCATTGCATTCTTTGCTGCCTTCAGTCTCTTGCATCTCTCGGTAGGAACCTGTCCTCCTGTTATCTCACTCACGGAATACATCATGAGGGAAACAATCTCTTTATTCAAGAAGACAATGTCCGATAAATATGGATAAACATGTAGATAGAGGATCCCAGGGGCAACAGGAGAAACCCTTCCATGGATGTGAGATCCAATTCCATGGGCAAGAAGAGCTCCAATACCTCCATTGTATGAGAGAGGAGAGGACTGCAGGCCAAGTGTCGCAGTGAAGCAGCTCTTAAGAACCTGGATCAGAGCATTGGGGTGTTGGAGGAAGACAGCACGAGATGCAGAGAAGACAAAGTGGTTGCCCCAACGCTTTGCTTTCTGGGTCCAGAGTGAAAAAACAATCGGCATGCAGGGCCAGGGGCAACCAGCTGCAATGGAGGCCATGGCCACGGTGCATAAATCGAGGTATCGTTTTGAATCTCTGTCAGTTTTATACGTTATAGTAAGGCTTACTAAGGCAGCCAGGGGCAACGGTAATGTAGCTTGACAGTTTCCTTCTGTGACAACAAACCGTTATCCATGTTAGAAATATGTACAGTGTCTGCATATTACATATCTTAACCATATACATCCAACAATTGAGAAAAATGTCTCTAGTTAATGCCCCTATTAGAGAATTATGTTCATGAATCACAATATTCATCACATACATTTACGTAATGTTGAAAAATAAGAAACCTGAATGAGCAGTGCTTGGGACGTCAACAGAAGTGGCAGCTACAATTATTTTGATCTTCTCCACAATATTTGGCAGATTTGCATCAGGACAGGGCCAATCTGTTCCGTTCATATAAGCTGGTTTCCAAACACCCCTTCGTATTTCAGCTGATAAGTAGCTCACAATGGTTCCCAAAGATGCAGGAAGAAAATCAACCAAGACTTTAAGCCCTAAGACAACAGAGCATCTAGGATTTTAGTAGTACACATATGTAAAGCCAAGTAATTGCAGTGACTCGAAAAACACGTCAGATTGGTTCTGAAGTACAGTTTGCCACGTAGGTTTCCTGGACGGCAGATAATGCTAGCGGACACACACACACACACACACAAAAAGATACTTAAGACTACTTTTGAGTAGGTTCCTTTCATTGAAGATGAATCCAATTATAGGTAATTATAAACGGGTACTTTACTTACCCGTTGCCAGTTTTCGGGGAGTGAGTCTCCCATGGTTACAAGCTGTTAAAGCAGCATCGGCTACAAACGGAACAGCTGCAAGAATATCCCAAGCTGCAGAGTTTCTTAAATAAGTATCTTCGTCTGCTTCTTTAGACGGACTACCACTAACAGAAGCATTAGAATCTCTTCCTTGTTCTTTGTCTTTGAACATCATGTTTAAAAGCTCATCAACATGGCGATGAATGGGGTTTCCATGGGTGAGTCCAGGGGGGGTGGAAGCTATGCAAGCATTATGCTGCATGTACCAGGCTTTTAATTTCGGGAATGAATCAATGAAGATGGGCTGTGCAGATGATGAGCTTGAAACTGCTGCAAGTCTCCTTTTCTCAGGATCCTGGCGGACCTTTTCAGAGGATACTAGGTGGGAGTTTCGTACTAACAGAAAGTATTCGGGAGTAAGGTTGGATTGAACAGTTGGAACGTATCCTAGTTGGTCGGAAAAGCAATGATTAAACCTCCACAGTTTCAAAATAAGAGTGAATCCATTAGAAAATACAGCATGAGCAGAGGTTTCTGTCCCTGGTGTGCTACTCCAAGTTTCATTAGGTACACATGACCCGAAAGTCTCACAGATCGCCATCACTGAGCATGCTAGTTGTGGAACCTGGCAACAGCATTACAAAACCGAACGACATCAATTTTCGCCTAAATAACAGCATTTAGGTTAATGAAAGTAAAAGTACCATGCCAAGGAGTGAGAAAATCTTGATGCAGTCGATGGACGATATCCCCACAACAAGGGCATTCAGAAACGGAGCATAACCGATCAGATGGCTGCCGCTGCCGCTGCCGGAATAATTTGCAGGACATGGAGGAGACAACAGCCTGATAATAAAATGGGCAGTGTGTTCCTGCATGAAATGCGGACCTTAATGCATGATGATGGAGAAGATCTGAAGAATGAAAGAGAGAAGGTAAGGGACAAGAATGTAATTTACTTGTATATTCCAACCCTGATTCAGGGAGGCCCCACAAAGAACGGTAACTGCTGATATTTTCTCAGAATCTGATCCGTTGATGGCTATCTCATATATTTTCTCCAGTTCTGTTAAACTTCCACCAAAACCATGAGCTTACATTCAATTGCTTACCAAAGGCGTTGGGGTTTGCACAAAAAAGAGCACATGATGTGGGATAACATATATTGTTTTTATTAACTGTTGTACACGAGATTTGAACTTATAATCTGAAGATCAACATTAACATGAGTGATCATATTAAAATTGATGGTGTCACTAAGGCAGAACTACAACAGTTTTTAAACAAGCTCCTGCAAAAGAAAAGACAATTTGGGGGTGGTTTGATAACCATTTCGTTTTCAGTTTTTACATTTTTTTTAACCGAAGTCTTGTTTTATAACTATTTTTAGTTTTTAGTTATCAAAAGTATAAAAACTGAAAACCAAAAAGTAAAAACTCAAAAAAGTAGTTTTCAGTTTCATTTTTTTGAAAACTAAAAGTAGTTCTTAAACAAGATTTCAGTTTTCAAAAAGTGAAAATTGAAAACGGAATGATTATCAAACGGTTAGTTAGTTTTTGGCTTGTTTGGAAGTGTTTTTAGAGAAAAATGATTCTCGCACAACCTTTTTCTTTCCCTTCACACATATCACACCCATGTTTATTTACAGTCTTTGAATTGAATAAATCAAAGAGAATCAAAAGACAAAAATAAACAGGATGTGCAGAAGGAAAAAATGAAAGTGCAGAAATCACCTCAATTTTTAGAATGGCTTAGAGCAGTTCTAGATGACCAAAAACACTTTGACTACAATTGGCTGAAAAAAGTGGTGTCTTGTGAAAAAGCTTCATAGAGAAGCACATTTTGTTTTTTCAAGAAGCCCTTATATTTTTATTAACTCTCAATGCCCTAATAAAAGCACTTTTAATGAATGCGCTTATGAGTAGAAGTGTTTCTTATAAAGCATTGCCAAAAGATAAGTGCTTGTATATACCTTGGTGCAGGAATTGAAATCAATTCCTTTGTCAACAATGGAGTAAGTTCTGCCCCCTGCATCAATGAGGACCACCCAGGAACTTTATCAGCAGGTATATTAGAAGGCATTCCATTGATGCCTCCTTTCACATAGCCCGGCCAGAAATATGCCGACGTGTCTATTAGATTTCTTGCTATGCAAGCCTCAACTATCAGATGTCGCATGTTTCCTGCTGAAACAGGAACATGGATTTAGAGAGAATTGCATTTATAATCTGAATCTGTAACTATGGTTTTACTTACAGCAATCCGTTGAGCTGTCGTTCGTGCTGATGCAATCCAAGTGTGCACTTTCAACCCTCGTCCCTGAGATGAAGAACATTGCTTTCGCAGCAGCCCTGTTTGCTGCAGAAACAACTGAACGAGGGGGAGCCAGCAGTCCTATGAAATTTCCCAGCATTTGTAAGCTGGAAACTAAATCATCGCGCGACTTCCCTGTCACCTTTTGTCGTCTCGAGTGATTGGCAAAGCTGTATTCTGTCGTGTCCACTTTCGCGCTTTCATCTTCTTCGATAAGGCCAGCAACCACAAGAGTGGTGATAGAGAGCAACATGCATAAGCGGGACTCTAAGTGAGGAAAAGGGGACTCAAGAGGCTCCCTTTCCTGAAAAAAGGAGCAGCAATTAACGCGATTGCCCAAAATGATAATGTATGATTAACTTGTGTTCCAAGGAAACAACAGAAGTTTAGCAATTTCGAACCCTTTGGACTAGACGAAGTGCTGCAATCCATAGGCCTAAGAAGGTGTCATGCCAAGTTGCACAGTTGATGGCTTGAAGGACCTTCATCAAACCTGAGCAAGAAAGAAAATGTTATATCCTCAGACATTGCTAACGGTCGATATAAGAAGTGATCTGCTTACCGGTGATAACCTCAATGGAACTTGTGGCATTGATCTGTGTAGCATTCAGGGCATCTTCTAGCACCAGATCAAGGGGAAGCCATATGGTTGAGCGACCGGTTCCATGGCATATTCCATCCGAAGAATCCATAATCGAATGGCACTTATGCACCGAGCGCAATTTGGATTTTTGCGAGCTCATGCAAATGTTTGAAGCCAACTTCAGAAGTTCCTCAGGACTAGTAAGTTTGGTATTTTTCAACGCCGATGATTTTTCGGCAAGCACTTGCAATCGCTTAACAAAAGCTTCCCAGTGTTGAAGCCTGAGAATGTGGCAGAAAATTATCAAGCATTAATCTCCCATACTAAAAACCTTGCCTGGGGGTAAAACGATTACTTCCATTGCAAGGAAACATACATGTTTCGTTTCGCCAAGTTAAGAATCTTGGAAGTCAATAGATTTTGCAGAAACTCCGCGATTAACTCAATGGCCATCACAGTGTTACGACTCTGCAATCTCTCATATTGTTCATTCCGCTCCTCATGATGATTTTCGAGACCGTCTATGTCCATGTCTTGGGGTTTAGTTGGCCATATGGACTTCTTTTCCGGAGCAAGTTCCAGTAACCCCTCATCGTCTAACGATGAATCGAGCAACTGCCACACGGTTGAGAAGATGAACGCAACCACAGTAGTCCCAGCTTCGGTTGTTTGCAACCCAAATGTCTGGGACAAATTAAGAATAGTATCTATTGATATCATAACCCTGTATGAAGAAGATAAGTTATATATTGCAATGCCAAAAAAAAAAAGGTACAACAAAATTTCATAAAAAAACATTTACATTATACACTAAGTGCCTGTTTGGAACTGATTTTGGGAGGGCTAGAATCATTTATGATAGTAGCACATGAGAAGTGCTTTTGTCACTTCCAAAATCACTCCCAAATGGGCTCTCAATCGGCTTTCTTTTAAGACAATGTAAACGGCTTTTTTTTTTCATCAATACAAGTGATGAAATTAGAAACTCACTGTTGATAACTAGGCCCTTTAATTTGAGATTTCAGTGAAAAAGCATGTCTCTTGAGGAGCTCCATGTAAAGCCTATATGCTATTGGCTGGACACGTCGATTCGGAATAACCCTATGGAAAGAAAATAAGCAACTATAAAGTTTATTTATGTTACTGGAATACTCTGTGCAGAATATTAGTCCTTTATAAATAACGAATTTATATCGATATTGTTGATAATTTGTCAACATCTTATCAATACGTTTTATTGTTGACATGCTATCACAATAATATCGCATAGGGTGCAACATGGGTTTTATTTGTACATGAAAGTGCAACACATGAACAGTTTTCATTCAACAAAGAACAACTACTAAGTCTAATCTTACGAGAATTCTATGTGCATAACGTACATTGTTTAAGGATGAATTTGTATTGACATTGTCGATAATGTGCCAATGTCATGTCATTATGTTTTGATATATCGACCATTCAATCCTTAAATCAAAACAGAAACACGGACCTGGAAGAAAGCAAAGCAAGAACAAGCATGGAGGGCACCATGTTGAAAACCAAGGCCTTCTCAAGAAACTTCCACATAATCGGCACGTTGTTTTCCCAACAAATATGCGAAACCAAAACGTCGGCGAGCTCTATAGATGGCAGGGACACCCCGGCAGAGGCCAAATTCGACGAGACTTCAATCGACCAAAGAAGAGGATCACTACCCTTTTCTTGAGCCTCCTTGGTCTGCATTATCACAACATCCCAGAGGCTGCTCAGTTCGGGATCCGCCATTTCTCGATCACAATGGTCAGTGTTTCGGGTGTTTCCGGCGACAGAGAGATATTTCGGGTGGTGGAGAATCAGAAGAATGTTGAGGGATTGTCTTTTGGATTTGCTCCACATTCTGCGACTCTGCATGATGTGCATGTGTGTTTTTTTTCGGTCTTGAAACTGAAGCGGTCAAACATGGAGAAAGTCAAACTGGCTGTAAGATTGCCACTTGGATTCTATATTGTTGAGGAAAAAAGTTGGGAATTTAGAACAATTTTGTAGGGATCATTAAACTAAGTTATGCTGATTCATTTTTCTTCTCTCTAGGATAACTAAAATGTTATGCAGATCTTTTAACATGTCGGTACATTTTATTAATTACAAATTTAAAATGTTATTAACACATTGTCGATGACATATTGAGAATAGATGCATGTTCTTTAGCCGGATTATACGACTCGTATTGGGTTTAAAAGGTAAGGTATTCATAATTTATTGCACAAAAGAAAAAGAAATATATTATAAAAAATAAAAAAATTGAAAGAGTAACTAATTAGGCGCACAAAACCGACAAATTTGCTACAAACTGGCTAATACAGTTAGATCCTATGTATTATTGATCGGATCCGATGAACTACTTGAGAAAAGAAAGAAATTAGAACTTGCACGAAGATGGACAGTATAAAGAAGCAGTTTGCTCTCTTAATTTTTCAGGGAACAAAATTATGTAACTTTTTGCTACAAAATGTTGCACATGTTTCCGGCGACAAATCTAATCTACAACCATTTTGTACATTTACATCCGACATCCTAAAACCTTAAACCTGCGTTGAGGGAATGTACTTTACATCTCATTTTCGACTATGAGTTCAGCGGCCGCTCCCATTGTACCGACGCCTCCGATCCCCAGCAAGGCCAGAGCAAGCTCTTCCTCGTTCCACTGCCTCAGACCATTACTCAGTCTCTTCAACACGTCTACATCAACCTCGAGCACCCAATGTGGTGTGCAACCGACCATTAGGGTTACAAAACCCGACACATAGGCACGCCATGTTGCAGAATCACAACCAAGTGATATCTTCCCATCAAGTGCACTTGCAAGAAACTCCATGTGGATATGTAGGATTTTAGGACGCCGTTTTGATGCTGATGATGACGAGTCAATGCCCCAAGCAAAAGCTCCACAGAGCACTGCAAAGTATGCAAGCGCATAGCCGCAAAGCATGGGAACCATTCCTTCTGACCCTTGTTCCTGCTCGGAGCCATGTGTAGATATAAACCAAGAAGGCAAGGTTTCAGTGATCAATGACTGAACCAGACACAAGCCTCCTGTTAACCATACTAAAGATGCCCCAAGTGAAGCTGCTTGTTTCACCCGAGACATTGCTCCATCAAGTGAAACCTGTTGATATCTCATTGGGTTTCTTGTTGTCTTCGACTTCTCCAATCTCTCTTTAGGACGAGCACTGCATGCTATCTCTCTTACAGAATGCATCAAGATAGTAACAATCTCTTCTGTCATGAAGACTATATCTGTAATTGATCGGTACACACGTAGGTAAAGAATCCCTGGTGCAACGGGGGAAATCCCACCACAGAAATGGGATCCAAATCCATGGCCAAGAAGTGCTCCAACACCACCACTACTCGAAATAGGAGTGGCATTCAGTCCAAGTGTGGCAGTAAAGCAGCTTTTAAGAAGCTGAACCATTGAATCACTGTTCTGGAGGAAAACAGTCCGAGATGCAGAAAAGACAAGGAAGTCGCTCCATCGCTTGGCCTTTTGAGTCCAAAGAGATGCGACAATTGGCATACAAGGCCACGGGCAACCAGCTGCAAGGCACTCCAAGGTGGGGCCAGCCAAACTGAGGAAGCGTTCTGATGCTCGGTCAATCTTGTAAGTAATAGTAAGACTCACAAAGGCAGCTAGGGGCATTGGAAGTGTAGCTGGAGAGCTTCCACCTGTAATAGTTTAGTCTCAGTCAAAATACTAGAGGTGAAAAAACAATATGGGGAAAATGGAAAGAAAAGAAAATCTGTCCCAGAACATGTAATAGCTTTATATTCCTTCTTGTTACAAGTTCGTGATAGGGGAAAACCTGCAGCAAGGCTAGGGACATGAACACCAGTAGCAGCTAGGATTTTCTTAATCTGTTCCTCAACATAGGATAGATTCACAGCCGGACTGGGCCAATCTGTTCCATTCATAAAAACTGGTTTCCAAATACCCCGAGTTACTTCAGCAGAAAAGTAGCTCACAATGGTTGCCAAAGATGCAGGAAGAAAATCTGCTAAATCCTTAAGCCCTGAAATAGAGAAAATTCCAGTTATCTAATATATTTCGCCAGGGTGTAATGACTTCTTTCTCTCTTAAAATTGAGGGCGACGTGTAGTAATTATAAAAAAAAAAAAAAAATTCGTTCAATTACATCTACAAGTCAAATTTATGACCTCGAGAAAATCTAAAATACCCAGTCAGATGAAATCCAATGATACAGTTACTAAATATTAACTCAATCAAACATTCAGGATTTAGTTTTAAGAAAAATCAAATTCAAAAACTATTTCATACATTTTCCTGGGTATCGCTGTATGTAAGTAACAAACCATTAACAGAAAATGAGATGAGAACACAAGGCTAACCTGTAGCAAGTTCACGAGGTGAAAGTTTTCCATGAGCACAGGCTGTTAGAGCAGCATCAACCACAAAGGGAATAGCTTCCAGGATATCCCAGGCAGGTAATTTAGGTCTCAGAGAGCTGTCTTCATTTCCGGGTCCCGAAGAACTACTACTTGGAGAATTAACGGAAGATATAGACTGGCTTCCTCTGTTAATCTTTGTGAACATCATGTTAAGAAGCCCATCAACAATCTGATGGACAGGGGTTCCGTGAACAAGACCAGAGAGGGTTGAGGCTATACAAGCTTGATGCTGTCTATACCAAACTTTTAGTTTTGGAAATGAGTCCACAAATACAGGTTCTGGAGATGATGAACTTGCAACAGCAGAGAGTCTCCTCTTATTTCGATCCTGGTGAGCACTTCCAGAAGATACTAGGTAAGAATTTCTTACAGATAGGAGGTACTCAGGTGTAAGTCGGGATGCAACCGTGGGTACATCTCCCACCCCATGCTCAAGAGGAGGATGATTAAACCTCCACAGCTTCAAAAGGAGAGTAAATGCATTCGAAAACACAGCATGAGCAGAGATTTGTTCTCCTGTTGATAGAGTCCAGGAGACATTGGGAACATATGAACCGAACACCTCACAAATCGGCATCAATGAACATGCTAGTTGTGGGACCTGGTAAGAAAATTAAATGACAGTAGTTTTTGAGGCTCTTGTAACTAATTAGCTGTAAGTGAAGGGTGTGCTCAATCACTGAATCTAAGATGTGACAAACCCTAACAAGATTATACTGTATCCGTCACATTTAGTTAAGTAAAACATATACATACCAAGCCATGTAAAGAGAAAATCTGAACGCAGTCTACAGATGCTATTCCAACAATGAGGACATTCAGCATCGGTGCATAACCTATTAAATGGCTGTCATCCCCAGAATAGTCAGCCGGAACCGGAGGGGACAGTAATCTAATGATAAAATGAGCAGTATGTTCCTGCATAACAGGTGAACCATAAGTTAATTAGAAAGCCAAGTGATTGGTAGAAAATGACAAGAACTTTTAGTATTCAAACAGGCAAGTGCGAAAAAGTAACTGCATTGTGCTATTGTGGGCAAAGAAATCAGAATATGTATCAAGTCTTAACAAAATTGTTTTCTTCACCTGTATATTCCATCCTCTAATTAGTGAGGCGCCACACAAAACGGTAGCAGCAGAAATCTTCTCACCGTTGGATCCATTGACTGCAACCTCAAATACTTTCTCGAGTTCTGCAAAGCTTCCATCAAATCCATGAGCTTAATTCAGTAGCTTTACCTTTGGATAAATTTACAAAAAAGAGCATCTGATATACCTGGCTTCAGGAAAGAAAAAGGAGTAACTGAAGACCAGGCCATCATCAAAGAAGCTTAAAAAGGTAATATAAAAGGTCATCTATCTATACAGAGTTCCCCTTTAATATTTTGCACACTACCCCACCACTTAGACATTGGAATCATAACGCTAGTGGCCAAAGGTATCCATGTACGACATCGATTAGATTATTAGATTCTTAAAACTCCTGTGAACCAAATGTAAACCCATGTAAAACCTCCATCCTAAGTAGTGCATTTATGCATGAACTCAAAAACCGAAAACTTAGAAATCACCTATTGATGGGCCTTCAGAAAGTGGTAATCCGATTTAAGGAATCAATAGTTACCAGGGAGAAAAAACTACCTATCCACTTATATTTGACACATGTAGTATAGGAACAGCGGTTTCAAGCCAGAAAAGCAGCAAGGAACTAATTTAATTACAACATGAATTACTAAATGTAACATAATTAAAAGGTTAAATGTTAGTATACCTTGAAGCAGGACTGGAAACCAAAGAATTAGCCATTGCTGGAGTAAGCATAGCCCCCAACATAAATGATGGCCAATCAAGCCCTTGAGTTGGCACGCCCTGAGGTAACTGGTTGATGCGCCCATTAACATAACCTGGCCAGGAATATGCAGAGGTATCCAGTAGACTTCTAGCAATACAGGCCTCAACTATCAAATGACGCATGTTTCCAGCTGTAAACAAATACATAAACCTAAGATTAGAATGCCTAACATTAACCGGTATACATTTGACTCCAGAAAACAATACACAGTATCAACCTTGAAGTTGCTTATGGCACTGACCATTATAGACAAACCAAAAAGAACTATACTAAAACCTCGAAACAGGAAGAACATAGGAGAATAAAATAAGGCTGAAAGAAAAAAGAAAAACTCGACAAGGAAAATAATACAAGATCGCAATAACCATGGACAGCAATGTGCGACACAGTTCTAAGGGTTTTTATGTTGAACAGTAGACATTTGAAAAATGAACAAGAAGATTATTTTAGTGAACTGAATCGCCATGCTCCAAACATCCATTTATTTCAAATTTGTGCCACTTCTAACTCTTCTTTCATGTTGAAGCAACTCATTGACATTGAATTAGAGCTAGATCATATTAC